TTTGGATAACAGTCCCTTATCATGTATCTTTTGCAAATATTTTCTCCTCATCTATGGCTAGTTTTTTTCATTTTACTGACATTGTCCTTAGCAGAACAGAATGTTTTAATGAAGTCCTTTATGAGGTTTTTTTTTTTTTCTCCCCATGCATCATGCCTTGGATGTTGTATCTAAAAAGTCATTGCCAAAATGAAGGGTATCTAAATATTCTCCTATGATCCCTTCTTTAAGTTTTATAGTTCTTCATTTTACATTTAGATTTGTGGTCCTTTTTGCGTTGATTTTTGTGAAGGGTATAATCTCTATGTCTAGATTTTCTTTTCCTGTTGATGTCCATTTGTTCCATCAACATTTGTTGAAAAGACTAATATAAATGGTACTGTTTGTTTGTTTTTGGTGTTATGTTTTTAATGTCAAATTCTAGTTATCCAGTTTTGGTACATAGGAAAGCTTTTGACTTGTATATTAACCTTGTATCCTACAACTTTGCTCTAATGGCTTATTAGTTCCAGGAGGGTTTTTTTGATGTTGATTCTTCCAAAAGTTTTACATAGATGATCATGTCATTTGTGAACAAAGACAATTTTATGCCTTCCTTCCCAGAAATAAAAGAAAATACCTTTTATTTCTTCTTTTACTGCATTTTCTGACACTTAACAGTATGATGTTGACATCAGTAAAAAGGGAAGGACCTCTTACCTTGTCCCTTAGTGTGAAAACCTTGAGTTTCTCACAATTAAGCATGGAGTTAGCTGTAGGTTTTTAGAAGATATTCTTAAGTTAGGAAGTTCCTTATTTCTAGTTTACTGAGGGTTTTTATCATGAATGTTTATTGGATATGGTCATATGCTTTTTCTGCATCTGTTTATATGATCATGTAATTTTTCTTGTGAAGCCTGTTGATGTGATTACATCAGTTGATTTTCCAGTGTTGAGCTAGCCTTGAAGTTTGGGATAAACTTTACTTGGTCATGGTGCATATTGTTTTTTTACACTTTGTTGGATTCAATTTACTAATACTGTACTTTGTTGAAGATTTTTGTATTCATTTTTTTTAATATGAAATTTATTGTCAAATTGTTTTCCATACAACACCCCAACAGTGCTCATCCCAACAGGTGCCCTCCTTAATACCCATCACTCACCCACCCCGCCCTCCCACCCCCATAAACCCTCAGTTTGTTCTCAGTTTTTAGGAGTCTTCTGTTTTGGCTCCCTCCCTCTCTAACCATTTTTTTTTTTCCTTCCCCTCCCCCATGGTCTTCTGTTAAGTTTCTCAGGATCCACATAGGAGTGAAAACATATGGAATCTGTCCTTCTCTGTATGACTTATTTCACTTAGCATAACACTCTCCAGTTTTATATACATTTTAAAGAGAGTTACTAGTCTGTAGTTTTCCTTCTTTTCTTTCTTCCCCCTTTTTTTTTTCTTTTTTCTTTTTTCTAATGCCTTTGCTGTAAGGTTTTGGTATTAGGGTAATTCTGATTTCATAGAATGAGTTAGCAAGCTTTCTTTCTGTTTGTATCCTCTGAAAGGGATTGTAAAGAATTGTTACAATTTTTCTCTCAAATGTTTATTAGAATTCACCAGTGAACCCTTCTAGGCATGGTGTTTTCTTTTTTAGGTTATTCATTATTGACTTGATTTCTTTAATAGATATGAACCTATTCAGGTTGTCTGTTGATTCTTGTGTGAGTTTGGCAGGTTATATTTTTCAAGGAATTGGTACATTTCATTAAGTTACTACTTTTGTGGGCAGAGTTGTGTATAGTATTTTTTAATTATCCTTTTAAGTTCATGATACCATAATTTCTCCTCTTTTACTTCTGATACTAGTAATCTGTGTCCTCTTTGTTTCTTAGTTAGCCTGGCTAGAGGCTTATAAATTTTATTGATCCTTTCAAAGAATCTTTTATGGTTTCTTCAATTTGTCTAAAGCTTTTTTATTTTCAGTTTCATTGATTTTGATCTGATTTTTATTTCTTTCCTTTTGCTTACATCAATTGATCTTCTTTTTCTACTTTCCTAAGGTGGAAGCTTAGATTATTGATTTTATATCTTCTAACATATGCATTCAATGTTAACATTTCCCTGTAAGCAGTGCTTTTACTATTAGTCTCAAATTTTGATGAGGTGTGTTTTCCTACTCAGTTTCTAATGTTTTCAGTTTGAGATTTCTTCTTTTACTCATGTGTTATGAGAAGTGTTGCTGATTCTCCAAATATTTTGGAATTCCCCAAGTATATTATTTGATTTGTAATTGAATTCCATTGTGGTCTGAGTGCAGACACTGTGTGGTTTTTATTTTATTTATCTTTTGAATTTAGGAAGGTGTGTTTTATGGCCCAGAATGTTGTCTATGTTGCTGATCAGTCTGTGGGAGCTTAAGAAGGTGTATTCTGCAAGTAATGGAGGAAGTAAACTATAGATATCCGTTGTGTCCAGTTGATTGATAGTACTACTACTGATTTCAACTATGTCCCTACTGATTTTTTTGTCTGCTGGATCTGTCCATTTCTGATAGGGGAATGTTGAAGTCTTAACTGTGATAGTGGGTTCATCTGTTTCTCCTTTCAGTATTATCAGTGTTTTGCCTCACATTTTTTTTTTTTTAATTTTTTTTTTTCAACGTTTATTTATTTTTGGGACAGAGAGAGACAGAGCATGAACGGGGGAGGGACAGAGAGAGAGGGAGACACAGAATCGGAAACAGGCTCCAGGCTCTGAGCCGTCAGCCCAGAGCCTGACGCGGGGCTCGAACTCCCGGACCGTGAGATCGTGACCTGGCTGAAGTCGGACGCTTAACCGACTGCGCCACCCAGGCGCCCCGTTGCCTCACATATTTTGATGCTTTGTTGTTAAGATGCATACAGCTTAAGGATTGTTATGTATTCATGGAGAATTGGCCCCTTTATCATTATATAATAACTTTCATTTCCCCTGATAACTTTTCTTGCTTTGGAGTCTGCTCTGTCTGAAAATTAACATAGCTATCCCTTTTTTCATTTTATTAGTATTTACATGCTATGGTTTCCTCATCCATTTACTTTAAATCTGTATGTGTCTTTTATTTACAGTGTTATTTCTTATGGACAATATATAGCTGGGTCTTGTTTGTTTGGTCCACTGTGGTAACCTGCATCTTTTAATTGATGTATTTAGACCATTGATGTCCAAACTGATTATTAGTGCAAGTTGGCTTAAAATTTTTGTAACTAAAAGTAGTAGAGCTTTACATTTATTTTTGAGACCATATAAATCTGGGGCATCTGGCTGGCTCAGTTGGTAGAGCATGTGACTTTTTAAGTTTATTTTGAGTGTGTGTGCACAAGTGGGGGGAAGAGTGCAGAGAGAGAGAGAGAGAGAGAGAGAGAGAATCCTCCACACTGACGGTGCAGAGCCCAATGCAAGACTCAACCTCACAAACCCACGAGATCATGATCTGAGCCAAAGTTGGATGCTTAACCAGCTGAGCCTGTCAGGCACCCCAAGCATGTGACTTTTGATCTCAGGGTTGTGAGTTCAAGCCCCAGAACAGGTATAGAACTCACTTCTAAAAAAATGTATTCTGCTTACATGTGTATAAAAGTAAGTATTTTGGTACTTTGGCCGTCCTAGAATCTAATGTTCTAAGAATCAGTCGTAGAATCTGATAGATCCCAAGATCTATCTATGGGAATTAAGAAAGGCAGAAGATATGCTTGTATATGTATCAAGGATTTAAGGTCATCATCTCTAGGAACTTACTCCCAGGCAAAGCTGTCAGTTAGCTACTGTCATGAAAACTACCCTCCCCTTTGTCGAGCCCTGGATTGAATGTGATCTTTGTATTTGAGAAAGCAAATAAAGTATTGGCAGCCTGAAACCTTAATCACTGAATGTGATTTACTCATACATTATAGTTGCCTATTCTACACTTGTTCTGTAGCCCTTGAGAACTCGAGTGTGGTAGATTTTATTATGATTATCTTGTGCTGAGAAAACCATCATACCTAGCAGATACAGAGTTTTACCTTATTAGGCTTTTTTACATCAAGAAACAGTTTGCTCTCGTGATTGGAAAGAAAAGTGAACCAGTTTCCTTAGTGTTCTCCAGTAATCCAGAAGTATTCTAGCAGTTGTAAATTATTCTGTTGATTTTTTGTTTTTCTAAAAGCACAGGATAAGAAACCCCCCCCCAGCACACAGGGGTACTGATACACAGTTGTCACTACACCTATGTCTATAATTTTTTTTTTTTTTAGTTGGGGGGGGAGGAAGTGAATAGCACAGTTTCTTATAAATGATCAGTAAATAGTTCTGTGGATAAATGTGTGAGAAAAATTGGGACCTTTTTAAAGATTGAAATGTGAGTAGCATGTGCAGTAGGAGGCTGGCTTAATAGCTAATAAGCTTTTAAATCTGGAAGAGTCTGTGGAATATGTTACTTTTTTCCCTCAAAAGTCTTAGTAGTTTTTGTAGTCTCTACGGCAGCTTTCCCACTTACTTTCCAAAGTTTTAATCAGAAGCCAGAATACAACTAGTGAAGACCAACTACAGGGGATTTATTCTAATCTAAACTAATACACAGAAGAACTTAGTTTCTCATCACACACCTGATCTGTCGTCTTAAAGACAATAGGTTTCCAGGGAGTCTTGTCATTTTCTTTCTAGGTTTTTCTGTGGCTCAGGGCTGCAGTTCTCTTCATGTCCTTTCATTGGTCCTAATAACTCTGTTTTTTCTTTTACTGATTGCTACTTCTTACCTTACCTCCTATCTGGGTTTAAAAGGGTAAGATTGTTGAACTTTGTGCCATAAGAGAAGGGAAGGGAATTGGGAGAAACTACAGCTTTAGAGTTTAAAATAAAGGAGGAGGGATCTGACTTGGGTAAGGCAGAATTGAAGGCTCAGAACTGCCACAGGAAATTCTTCTTTTCTAGTTCTATTTTATTAATGTTGCTGCTATTGACTTTCTGTAAGTTTTTTCTGTGAAAGAGTAATTTAAAACATTATTTTTAGATGAAAACAAGAAACCAGTTTATTTGATTACAACGCTGGATAATACGATGGAAGATCTGCTAACACTGGAGTATGTGAAGGTAAGCACTTCCATTTGTATGCTTGCTGTGGTGAGTGTGCTTCTGAAATGTTGTAATCAAGTTTTGTAAATTTAGGTAGGTTTCGTTTAATCTTCATTATAACGTGATTTCTAAAATTCCTACAACTTTAAGCTTTTCTTGTTTTGTCATCCTTTAGTTTCTAAACATTTCGTATAGAAAAATAACAGGCCTGTGTTCTAAGTAGAAATGACATGAAGTTTGACTTTTTTCCCCTCCATCAGATAACCAAAAACACAAAACAAAACAAAAACAAACTTTTTAATCTTGATGGAATTTAATATGAGATGAGGCTTTCATTTGATTTCATCATTTATTAAGTTTTTATATTACTGTGGTCTGCTTAAGATTTATTCCGCATTTTCATTGACCTATTTTTATGTAAGTGCCACATTAATTTAATAATTACTTTATAATAACAATGCTGATAGAGTATTTTACCACTTTTAAGACTTTTTTTTACTATTGATGGAGATACTTTAGGGTTTGTGGTGGTGTTTATGCATTGTTAAATAGCCTTTTTTTGACAAAAGCATTCCAGATCTAAAGATATCATGCACAGTATTTGGATACTTGGTAGACAATTCTATCACAAATTTTTTCACAAAGGGGAAGAATTAGGAAGAACCTTGGTTACAATTGTATGTACATACGACTTCAAGATACTAATGGATTTGCTTTTTTCTCTTTGGTTAGGCAGAAAAGAATCTACCTAATTTAAAAAGTACTTACAACAATGTTGTGCAACTAATTAAGGTATGAATGAACAATAATTTATTTTTTAGATACTGTATTTCTAAGTAACTATATTATGGAAATTGTTTTATAACTAGAACTGTATAATCCTTGAGGATAAAAATGGAATATTATGAATTTTATTCCTTTTTTAGATATATTTAATATTTTTGAGAGAGAGAGAGAGTGCGCGCATGTGTGCAGGCACTAGTGGGGGAGGGGCAGAGAGCAAGGGAAACACAGAATGGAAAGTAGGTTCCAGGCTCTGAGCTGTCAGCGCAAAGCCCGATGCCACTCTCGAACTCATGAACTGCGAGATCAGAAACCAAGTCAAAGTTGAAAGCTTAACCAACTGAGCCATCCAGGTGCCCCATGAATTTTATTCTTATTACAACAAATTATAGTGCCTTATACTGAGCAACAAACAGATATTTATTGACCTGTTACTAAAATCAGCTTTGTTCTTTAGGTGAATTTTTCCTCTTTGGATATTCATTTACATACTGAAGCACTTCTGAATACAATAAACTATTTTAATAATGTACTCCCACAACTAGAAGAAAAACGAGCCTCTGTGTCTGTTGCGGAGACTGAAGACAAAGGAGAGGTCATTAAAAAAATGTGTACGTTTGAAATTCAGCTTCAAGGTTTTTTACCATGTAGATCAATAAATTTTAGCTTTTTCTTTGTTTCCTTATGTATAATATTGGCTCCAGAATTCTGTTGCTTAAATTAGCATCTAGAAAGATTATTATGTACCAGGTAAATTTTAGAAAATAACAGCAAAAGAAAGTATTTACCAGTGAAGAAAACATGGTTTTTATTTATCATGTCACTCTTTTTAGTCAAATATCATATAGTAGTAGTATTTGAATTAAAATTCATGCATTTAATATCATAATTTTGGATTAGAAATTTAGAACTAAAAAAATGTTAATCCTATCAGACTGTATTTTTTAAGCATATATTTTTTAAGCAATGAAAAGTTGCAGGTTTGACCATGACAAATACCACCTAATAATCATTGTGTCTCAAATGATTGATGATTTTGCAACTACAATTTTTTTTCGTGTCATCCAGGATGAAACTAAATTGTTAGTCTCATCTAGGAATAGTTTTTGGTTGTGTCTGTTTGATTTGTTTGGCTTTGTTTTCATTAGGTTTGATTGTTGTTTTAGAATTCCTAATTTAGTAGGGAATATCTTAATTTCAATTGAATGGAAAATCAGGTTTTCCTCTAGCATTATTAATTTATCTTATACTTCAATTACTTTATAAGGGTAGTGAGGTAACTACTAAAAGTTTTTCCTTATGTTTTACAATTTTTTTTTTTTTTTTGCAGCTTTAAAACTACCCAAGAACGAAGATATTATTACCTTGCAGATTTTGGCAGAATTATCTTGTTTACAGATCTTTATTCAAGATCAGAAACGTAACATTTCTGAAATTAAGATTGAAGGTAATAAAATTTCAGAAAAAAAAAATGAGAGCTATGAAATGAAAGAAAAGCCATTCATTCATTCTTTTATTCCCTTAGGGCTTGATTCTGAGATAATAATGAGGACTTCAGCCACTGAAATAAATGCAAAGCTAAGGAATATAATTGTCTTGGATTCTGATAAAACAGCTTTATACAAAAAGGTATGGACTTGTTTCTCTTAAATAATAGTACATCATTAAATACAAGTGTCCTTTAAGGTTGGTCATGTTATGCCCAGAATTCGTGATCCCCAAAGACCACTAGGGAGCCGAATCTGATGCAAAAGCAAAGAGCCTTTATTCGAGCTAGCTCGAGCTCAATCCCCTACCTGCACCGACGCAGCGGTGAGATACCAGGGAAAGAGAGCGAGTTTCAAAAGGACAAAGGTTTTATTGGGGCCTAGGGGCAGTTGGTGAGGTAATGGCTGTGGCCTCAGCCGATTGGCTGGGGAAGGGTCCTGGGGAAGGGTCGAGTCCTGTTAGGCAGGTGAGGGGGGGTTACTCAAGGGGAGGAGGTGTGGTCAAGGTGAAGGACACAGAACAAGATGGAGTTGGCTGGCATAGGCCCGCCCTTTCAGTCATAGGTATAAATTAGTTGTCAGCATTTTAGCAATGTGGCTTATTAAGTTGACAGGTTTTGGAGTTAGGCCTAATTGGGTTTGTATTTTAGCTCTGTTCCCTAGTGGTTGTGTGACCTAATCTCAGATTCTTTTTATTTGTAAAATGAGAATTAAGTATCTCATAAAGAAGTTTATATAATACTCGGAAACATAGTTGGAGACTGGGGAAGGGCAATTAGTAAATGCCTTTTTCAATTTTTTTTTCTTTTTGCTCGTCTCTTCAAATACTGTGAATCTTGTGATGCATTTCAGATTTCAACAGCAGTGGATATGAAGTCAGACTGAGCAGATGAAATTATTTAAGTTTATTTTCATGGGTGCTTACTCTATAGTATAGCTGTTCACAATCTTAACAGAGTCCTTTGAACCGATGGCTAGGGGTTGAAGAGATAGGTGTTAGTACTGGGTGTGAGATGGTAAAGTTCTTGGACCAGATACCATTGTCGAGTTGGACAGGTAATTGTTGAACAGTGGAGCATATAGGTAGGATGGTGTATTTAAGGGAGTGAAGAGAACATCAAGTAGTAGCGTCAGAAAAGGCTGAGTTACTTCTTGAGTCAGGAAGTCGGAGTCTGGAGTGTGAAAGGAAAATGTGGCAATAATACCAATGAGATACAGTGATGACCTGATTTTTATGTTAAATGAAAATCCTTACTCTTTATATTTCCTTATTATGGCTTGCTAGTGTGAAATAACAAGAGTGCCAGAGCATCAAAGGTGCATGGTCCATAGTAATAAGGAACAAGAAATCTTATAGAAGCCATGGTTTAATGTATTACTTTTGCTTTTATTAAAAAAAAAACAAAAACAAAAAACAAAGTACTAACACATTTAAGATTATTGGTTTTATTTGCCCTGTGTAGAAAGTACAGCTCACATAAATAAAGGCATCTACTGAAAGTCATACAAATAATTAGTAATGAAACTGATAATATAATCCAAGTTATTTACTTTTTTCTTTTTAATTTTATAACTAATGCATCTGTGAGGTTAAAAATTCAACGTAAGCTACAAACTGAAAAGTTTCTTTCTTTCTTCTTGCCCCACCCCATTTCCCCTTGCTATTCTTTCACTTTGATTCTAGTGTACAGGATTTTTATTTTACTTCTAATTTTTTAAAAAAATGTTTTAATGTTTATTTTTAAGAGAGAGAGAGCGAGTGTGTGTGAGTGGGGGAGGGGCAGAAAGAGAGGGAGACACAGAATCTGAAACAGGCTCCAGGTTCTGAGCTGTTAACAGCCCAATGTGGGGCTTGAGCCCATGAACCATGAGATCATGACCTGACCTCAAATCCAGCGCTTAACCATCTGAGCCACCCAGGCGACCCGTGCTGTACATGATTTTTAAATAAACTGCCTTGGTTCAGTAACTCTCCACATGTTTAGGAAGCAGAGGGACAACTATTTGCCTCAGATCAGAGCTTCCTAATTATTGTGCCCTGAGTGGGTTTTGAGTATAATAATGTATTTAGCTTCTTAGCTTTTTGGGCAGTTGGGTAAAGGATACCTGGAGTTCTCGACACATCCCCAAAGGCAAGGGAATTAAAAGCAAAAGTGAATTACTGGGACCTTATGAAGATAAAAAGCTTCTGCACAGCAAAGGAAACAACCAACAAAACTAAAAGGCAACCAACGGAATGGGAAAAGATATTTGCAAATGACATATCAGACAAAGGGCTAGTATCCAAAATCTATAAAGAACTCACCAAACTCCACACCCGAAAAGCAAATAACCCAGTGAAGAAATGGGCAGAAAACATGAATAGACGCTTCTCTAAAGAAGACATCCGGATGGCCAACAGGCACATGAAAAGATGTTCAGCGTCGCTCCTTATCAGAGAAATACAAATCAAAACCACACTCAGGTATCACCTCACGCCAGTCAGAGTGGCCAAAATGAACAA